TATATATATATATTACCCAACAAAAGCTATAAAGTAGAAGGTGGCATCCGGACTCACAAATCCACTCCAGGTGCCATGGCTAAGCGCTAACTTTCCATGTTCAAGATACGAGATCAAATACTCGCTGCCTACGTTCCTAAGCTGGTTTCTCCTTGAGTCCTTTCCTTTTTCTCTTTCTGCTCCTTTTCTTTATTTCTTTTAATTCTTCAATCTTCATCTTTGCATTTCCTCTCTCCTCCTTTTCTTTATTTCTTTTAATTCTTCAATCTTCATCTTTGCATTTCCTCTCTCTTTGTAGCCATTTTATTATTTGTTAAATTATATATCTGTATTGGAAAAATTGAGTTTACATATTAAAGTAGTATGGAGATGACGTGTGTGACACGTAGACTGGTCAAATGGTCAAAGAATTTCAACTAGCCACGAGGCACGAGTAGCAATGGATGCGAGCAAAGGCAAAGGAAGAGGCACGCTCAGACATTCAAGGGATTCGGCGCTCGTACCTATTCAAGACATTTAAATTCAAGAATCAAGAAGAATCAAGGGAATGAATTTGACAACACATGAGAGTCCAAATACAGTATTTAATAAGCCTTAAATGCTAAAAATGTTATAGAATCTGTCTTGAATATAATGATTATGTAATGTAGCATTCAATGTCATTAATTGCCCATAATGGCCTTATTATGACAAAGGCAAGACATATATCTCAAAAATAGCTATAAAAAGGGGAGGACTGAACAATTGTAGGGACACGAAAGATCATCTGAATATACTTTGGTTTATTTATTTTATTTAATTATATTCTGGCTATCCAAATTACTTTCTTTTATACATTCTTGCGATTATCAGTAACCCGTGTTCTTCTAAATTATAGCTTTAGTCAAAATTCTATTTTTTGGTTAAACAAATTGGTTCCGTTACCGGGAATCTGATAGTCCATTTTATTTCAGCCTAACTTTCCTTGTTGCATCAACCATGTCGAACAATAATATGACAACATTCAAGGAAACCAAGAAAATCAAACAACCCAGCAACTTCAGGGAGATCCACAGAACAATAACGTACTGATTCCTTCTCCACGAGGCTCTCCACGGCGGTCTCGTGAAGGCACTCCTGATGGGTCTCATACAGATGGACAGGCTCAATTCGAAAATGTTGAAACTATGGATGAGGCTTTGCAAAAACTTATTGCCTCACAAGTCAATAAAGCTCTTCAGGCTTTTGTTAGCCAATTACCTGCTACACCACCCACACCCTCTCCAAATAACAACACTCTGGAGAACCCTCGTTTCGGGCTCGTTAATTCAGGTAGTGGTGGAACCCCCAGCGAATCACAGGAGGGAGAACCAGGTAATTTAGCTAATTCTGATTTACAAAACTTAGTACTAACATTGCAGAAACAGCTCAAGGAGCAAAGTGACCGCATAGAGCAAATACCCGGGGTGCCACCCGTGATCAAAGGGGCAGATATGGATAAGTATTCTCAACAGCCCTGGAAACCAAGCGTTGCTCCCCTTCCAATTCCAAAGAAATTCAAAATTCCTGATATACCAAAATACGACGGAACAACAGACCCACAAGACCACGTGACTACATTCACAACAGGCGTAAAAGGCAACGATTTGACTAAGCAGGAGATTGAATCAGTATTAGTCAAGAAATTTGGTGAAACACTCATTAAGGGTGCACTAACATGGTATTCTCTTTTACCCGAAAATTCTATAAATTCTTTTGCTGAGCTTGCAGATTCTTTCATCAAAGCACACTCGGGAGCTCAAAAAGTCGAAAAAAGAATAGAAGATATTTTTAAAATTAAACAAGGGGACTCAGAATTGCTTAAGGAATTTGTGGACAAATTTCAGCATGAAAGAATGACATTGCCACGTGTACCAGATAACTGGGCAGCTATAGCTTTCACAAGCAATTTGAATGAGAAATGCTCAGAAGCTACGGGGCGACTCAAGGAAAGCCTTCGTGAATTCCCCGCTACAACATGGAATGATGTTTACAACAAATATAGCACAAAGTTGAGGATTGAAGAAGATATTATTTCACGACATCAAAAAGAAGAAAAGGTAAGCTCAAGACGGGCGGAAAACGAAAAAAGGTCCGGTAAAAATAGGTACGAGCCATACATGGGACCTGCGGGAAGAGACTCACGGTCAAAACAGGACAATTAAAGGTACGATCATAGATAGAGGAATAGAGAGTCAGGCTCATCATCTAGATTTGGCAATGACCGAAGCACACGTGAATCACGAGATGATGATAGAGGTGTAAAGGCAAGGTTTGGCGGTTATAATTTCAACGTGAGCACTTCTGAACTTGTGGCTGTTTTAAGAAGCATGGGAGATAAGGTTCGATGGCCGAAAGAGATGAGATTGAATCCAAACAGGTGCAACCCTGATCATTGGTGCGAGTTTCACAATGACCACGGGCATAAAACAGCAGACTGCAGATTTT